TTAATAAAAGATGCGCTTATGCGTAAGACAGTCTATTCACAAGCAGCCTATATTACAGAGTCTTAAACGGATATTAAATGCTTGTAAATGCTATACTTTTTGCGATTTTCAAATAATAGTTTTTTTTTATAGCGGACAAGCCACTGCAGGCACTAATGCCAGGACGTCTGATAGAACTTTAAATACTGCTCACACATAGTAGGTCGTCTGCGAACGCAACGATTGTTTGCTTATGGGATTATGGAGATCAGTAACTCACTGAGAATAAATGCTCAATTAGTCAATGTAAAATATAGTGAAAGTGTCCTCACACAACGGTTGACATTGAATGCATTGTTTGTTATGTGACTCACAAAGTTATTAAGTCAACTTGATTTGTTCCCAGCGGATGGGGCATGCAGCGCTTCTTGCGTTTGAGGTATTTTTCTATGCCAAGCCGTTACTACGAGCGGGTTGTTATCAACATTACCTCGAATCTGACATTGCTCTGCTGTACATAATTCATTTCCAATTACCTAGTTATACAATTATTCTATTTAAACGGTACATGCGGTTTTGGGTACCGGTATTTTTTATATGTTTGTGTGAAATTATTACCAGAATCTATCTTGCCCTCCCTCCCAACTCTTTATGTCACGTTATTTTTACGAATTTAATATACAATACTATACTGGGTATAGTACGTATATAACTGGGGTGACTAGTTAAATTCGAATTTGTCGAGTTGGAGGCGGCGTGATAGGACGGATAAAGACAGGAACAAAGGCCCCTTATTGCAGATGTGCACGTGCATAAATACTCACCGGCTGGCGGCCACTTTTTTCCAAAATTATACTGAATTAAATAATTGCGTCTTGTCGGGAAATTATCACAGTGTATAAATACCCGTACTCCGCCAGATACCCGCTGCGTTGATGGGCACGGCGTGTTTTTGCCGTGTATACTTCAGTAGCTGACACAGGTAAACGAATGTGGGATTTATCCTCTTGTCTGATATTCGGCTCCATCTAGAGCTTTTCAGCGCGGGGAATTTGACGCACGGCAGGCGGCCAACGGCGTTCCACCTGTAGCAAAATCTGTTCATCTGTTTGTGTGGCAGATAGCCGTTGGGCATCGACAAAGCTGGGACGCGCTTTTAGAACTGATAGCATGTGATACAGAATGATGAACATGACGCGCACGCTGGCCACCTCGGCGCGGCATGCTGCGCTTTGTTGTGCGTCAGGTACTCACCAGGCAATGCTAATCATTTAAACTACGCGAGTTAAGTAGATAAATAGCGTGGCGCTCTTCTTAAATTGTCTCCTGGTAGGAAGGCATGTTATTTTTATGCTTTTGAAGGGTTCTTTGTAAAGGGGTTCAAATCGACAGATGTTCAAAAGTGCAGTCAAAAGACAGCTTAAAGAGTTTCCCATTTAGTAAGGAATTTATGACGGCGTTCGTTCTTTTACGAAGAATTGCTCAAAATTCGCGGTGACAGTGCCTTCCGCACCATTGCAAATCGATAATCGTACACGCACTCACGAACGCACGCATGCACATACGCATTTGTTCACTCTCTCACTCTCTCGATCCCTTGCTCGCTCGCTCACTCACTCACGAATACCTACCTACTTACACACACTGGCGTTCTTGTCTATACTAAAAGTATTGACCATAAGCATACAGGGCCGATTTCGCTGGATTGGTGTGACATCGTCGATGCATAGGTTTAGTTCTAGTGAATAATTTAAGATACATTACTCTGAGGTTTAATTTAAGTTGACTATAATCTGACTATCCGGAATTGGCATGGCTGTTAATCTTACTATGTGGCGTTATAAAATGTAAATTTACAATTATTCAGTTCATATATTCAATTACCTATATTCAAATATATAAAAACCGAATTATTGCAACGCATAGTTATATTACAATTATCCTCACTCGGTAATGTATTGTAGCCGCAGATGTCACGTTTAGCTACCGTGGATATTCTTCCATTAAGAGCGTGGTTCCACAAATGCGATGAGACAGGCATGCGTGACGTAGTGTCAGGTAGGCCAAATCGCGACATAGTCAGCTACTAGCCAGAAATAATCTGGCCTTGTGCCCGAATTCAGTTTGCAGTGATGTCGCCACTGATATATTATCAACGCTGCAAGGGGATGCAGGGCTCTAGGTTCGTCACGCGCGAACGACAATGTAAAATCGCCGGGGCGGCAGCGCACCTTCCATTGTGAGAGCGAGACTCTTCAAATAATGTAACGTACCCAATGGTGCATCTTCTGGAATAGCTTGCTCAAGATGAAGCAGCTCATTCATGTTTAGATGGGTACTGGGTTGGGTCAAGCACAAAAATTGTCATGTGTCGTCTTAGAAAACCTAATTTCGTAAAAATAATAAAATCCGTGATCTGTGATCGTGATTTTCGTCGTCAGTCCTTTTAAGATCAAAAATAGAAAACCGTTTCGCAAGATTCTCTTTACGTTTGCGTGCGGGGGGTTGTGCGTCGATGCTTGTGCACCTGTAGGCCTACGGTACGTGGGTGCGTAGGTGTGTACAAGTGGGAGGGTGGGAGGAAAATAAGGGAGCTTGTGTGTGGTCGCGTGTGCGTGTGCGCGCAAGACTGTACCAAACACGAATGTTACTAGATAGTCACGATTCATTACATTTTGTATGGTAATATTAATATGTGTTATTGCTCTTTTGTTTGTCAGCTCTTTTCTTTCAAGTAATTTCTCACATACGTTTAAGTTGGGTAAAGCGGTGGAAATAAACTATTTCTCACAGCTAAGTTAGATGACATCCATCAACGTGTCTACGTGCTTTCTGGGTGAGTTCAGGGCGTGGGAAACACAGGGTTTGTTATAGAAAACGCAGACAAGTGATTTCAACCTGTTAAGACGCCGGAGGCTACGCGGAGACGGGTTGTACGGCGAAACCTGTTGCTAAATGCTCAAACGTGTCTTTTTTGTTGCATTAAATACGGTGTTTAAATATACAAGAGTCAGATTTAGTGCTGTAGATGGTACACATGTGATGAGTGTAGCAGTAGTGAAAGAGGATTACGCCCGACTCTACAGCAAGTGAGATTATAAAACGTTTGCAAAAATCTATATATTTGAGTAATGTTCAAGAAATTATTATACCGTAATTCGTAAGTGTTTTATACGTCGCCGCGCATTGTAACAACACGCACGCATAATTTGTTACTGCATCTGATCACTTAGCTAGATATTTATGCTTACGATGTGCGTGTAACTGGGTATGTTAAACTGATAGCATTTCATCATGAAAAATATAACGATTTTTGATCCTGTCCCCGATTACATGTAAACACACAGTTATAATCACGAGACTTCCCTCAGGCTTCTCGCGCCAAGTTGCGTATTAGCCGCCATCCCCATCTCTCCTTGGCATGCGCTATATATGTGAAACCTCTTTCCGGGTGTGTCCTACTGGTCTAGCGCTCGCTATTTAGCAGGGATAATATATAACGAGTTTTTATATCGTCCACAATTATACATAAATACGATATAATCACAAGACCTACAGGGGGATAATAGGTTAATGACTCTACTATATCTGAATATGATTACCTCTGGTGGCACTAATTGCATCTGTTAGAAGATATATGAATAATATATCGCTTTATAATTCATAATTATTTTAACATATCTAGGCAATACGACACCGTGCAAAAGGCCCCCGACATTAAGTCTGTACGTAGCAGTTATGTAGCTGCGAGGAATGTGTTGTGCGTACGAGAACGAGCGCGTGTGTCTTGATGTGCCTGTCTGTGAGTACGCGCACGCAATGCCACAGCGGACGATACGATAAATAATTGCTAATAACTAATACTCTAAACAAGCTTTGTGTCTGTTTATTGTAAATAGTGTTTGTTTATTTAGTGTGTTTTTTGAGGTAACGACTAGGTCTGGCCATGAAAAGCGCAATAGGCGAGTATGCCTTTGGAATATTGTACACAGACTTTCACGAAACGGATATGATTTCTAAGGCCACACAATCTATTTGCCTTCGCCAGGCAATATTTGTGTTTTACTATAAAATAATTTCTGTACTTTAGTGTATAAACTCGCCTAACCTAACTAAATAACGTAACCAGTTAAAGCTAATTAACCTAACGCAATCTTTAATTTCGAGGTGTGTATAAACATCGCAGAACTCTAGTGGTCGTACTAATTACTACAATACAACTAGGTTTCAATGTCATTTTCAATGTAAATGCCAATGGAATTTCAATATGTTGTCTAAACACACACATGTGCGTACGAAATCGTGTGAAAAAAGGTTAAAAACAACAACCCTGTTCGTTCTGAGCTAATATCAGCAGTGCAATGCTAACAAACAACAAGCTCGTCTGTGCTTTGCCCAGAACCTGCCCGGTGGCGTCCTCGCTGTCATGCGTACATTGTCATTCGCTAACAATGCTACAAATGTTGCTTGCTTGCCAGTGCGGAATGAAAACACACCCGTGCGTTTTTCCCATGCATTTGTTAAATCAGGTATATTTGTGCAACGCGACCATTACAAAGACTGGAAGTTTCCAGGCAAAAATCATAGTGTAAATATTTCATTGGCGTTTTGAAAAGAGACGGGTCTTTTATTGGCCCGTAACAAGCGCATGCATGCACATCACATCGGCGGGTCAGTATTACTTCCGACGATGGGCAGTAACTGCCACTACAGTAACTACTGCGACGACCGGCGTTTGCCTTTGATGCGTTCGCGGTTGGGCGCATGTGAAGTTGGTGATTAAATAAGGCGCCTCGACGCAGTTTGTCGATCTTTTCTTGGTGCAATATAATGTCTCATTCTAGTGAAAGACCAGCGTTTGTGACACATATTTCCGACATCATCGCGCGAAACAGCTTTAAGGTCGGGGTTAGTTGTTTTATACCAGCATCCCCATATCACATATATGCCTTATGGAATTGATATGCAACGATTTTCAGACTTTTAGTATAATCACATTTGTTTGTTTATTCCAAATACAGATTCATAGTAGCGGCGACGACGCATCAGCAAAATACGACATGTTGGGAATGAAGGTGGAACGATACCAGAAAGTCATCTACGCGATCAATGGCCTCCTAGCCGCCTGCGTCATCATATTTGTCATCGTCTCCATATGGCTTCTCAAGGACAGTCACATGACCCTGATTCCAGTAAAGTTCTCCGATGCGAGCTTCATCTATGCGTACTATGCTTTGATCGTACAGGCTGGGGTTGTTCAAGCGCTCGGCTGCTACGCAACATACAGACTCAAGAAGAAGCTGCTATATGTGTTCTGGTTCTGGCTGTTACTGCTGTTAATTGGTGACATTGTTGTTGGATTAATTTGGGTTCTAAGATTTAACGCGTTATCTGCGAGCCTTCCACAATCTTTGCTGGATGATTTGCAATCGGAGTATGGCCAAGTGGGCCGTTCAACTCGTGCGTGGGATGATGTGCAAAGCAATGACCAATGCTGTGGTGTGAACGGACCAATGGATTATCAAGATTCAAGTTGGTTCAAAAATGTGGCGTCGACCCAACCAGCAGCTTTGAGCATGCAGGTGCTGCCATCTAGTTGTTGCAAAATCAACTCTAACTCGAAGGTTGTGCTAAACCCCATCTGCATGCAGAGCTACGACAACGTATTCATCTACAAACAAGGATGCAAGAAAAGTGTCGCATCTTGGTTGCAAAGTACGGCCAATAAGATGTTTTTACTCGGCTATTGTTTGATAGCCTTCTTCAAGGCCGTCTCCCTTGCAATACTCTGGCGAGAGATAAGAAAACTCGGACGAAAACTGCAGAAAATGTGGCGATATTCGCAGTCCAACCTCACCAGCGCCGATGAGAGCTGTATTGAGAGAGCTACCAATGACGATTGCGAGAACGAGGGCGAGATAAACCAAGGTGCCGAGATTGCTGTGGAAAGAGAAGTGGAGACGGATGAGACTGAACTTAACCAGGGTGTGAAGCCGGTGTAAGTTTGACATTGATAGCCACACTACACTTTCTTTTTGCGTATGCACGAAGTAGTCTACGATGAATGGAGCAACGTTACAAACATTTTTTTGCAGTTTATATTTATTACTCACATGTGGATTTTGTATGTTGTATATATATAAATATATATATATATTTACAACTCGTTAGTAGGCTTGACTGGTGTGGATTTCTGTGGCGTATCAAATAATTTCCACATAAAATGTGTCGTTTTTTCAGATATGGAAGTAGCAGTGAACACCAACAATGGCAGCAACAGCAGCAACGGTTTCTTCAGCAACGACGGATGCGGCGCTCGATCTCCTTGGTAGATCTTACTGAATCTGGCATTTCAGTTAAGGAGGTGTGTGCGGAGAGTGTACCTAAGTCTACTGGAAAGATCACCACTTCCTCGCAGCAGAGTCGACCTCGTGCGTTGAACACTAACGTAGTTTCAATCGCGCATGCGCAAAATGAGCCGGGCCAGAGAAGACCGCACCTTCTCATTGCGACTGTGCACCAGCGCGGTGTGCGCTCAAGAAGATCACTGAATTTTGACAGCAGCGCAAGGCACCGGTTTAAACCAGCCGATATAGATCTTTTCAAAGAAATCATGCACCGAAAGATGGCTGATAAATTACACAAAGGCGAGACGCCGGCTGACAACCCGATAGAGACAGGTAGTGCCGATCTCACCGTCAAACATAAAGCGCATTACACGAGCAACGTGGGCGACGTGACCGGGCGTCCGCCGATAGAGGCAATTAATATGCAGCTACTGAACAGTCAAGTACCTAAGCAGCGCAATATCGCCACGTCTGGCAACAACTTTGTGTACAAGAAGTGCGACGATATTCCACACGTTGCATCGGTGCATGCTAACGAATCGGCACAGATGCATCACGGCCGTCAGGGTCAGCTGCTGCCGGCTCCCGGCCGCAATTCGTCGCCGGTTACTGTGCAGCACGTTAGGAGTGCTCGGGGGTTTACCCCACAAAAGCCGGGCAGCGGACAGAGCAAGGGGATGCACCCCGACACAGACGCAGCGAGGCGGGGCTTGGCTGTCGGTGTCGAACCGAGCAGGCTGCCTTTGGTAGCGAATACGGACAGTGAGGAATCTCCCCCGTCGCTGGAGAGGTCGCTGGAGAGGTCGGGGCGAGAAGCGCTCCAGCAGCGGCAAATGATGGACAGAGCGCAATCTAGACTGGCGACGCCGTCGTCTAGACGACTCTCGTCTGCACAGCAATCGCAAAACGCTACCCAGTGCGGCAGTTTCTCCCAGGAGGACATAACTGAGAAGGAAATCAAAACAAAACTGAACAATGCGAAAGCGATGCTAGAAAATCAAACATCTAACAGCCGCGCCGGCAGCGCACACGAGTTGCAAAGCTGTGATGCTGCGCGCCCTCTGGTGGAAGAACAGAGCGGGCGTGCGCGTAATTGCTTAAGTGACAATAGAACTTGTGAAAGCATAAACGTCGCTTTAATACGAAATAAGAACCGAGGAAGTAGAAGCCATATCAAACATGAACAAGTGCATAGTACGATGCGAGATACTGAGATATTTACGATAAGTTGAAGAGACTTGTTTGAAATCGATCTAGTAGGATATAGTCGTTTAATCTGTAACATTAACTGTGTTATCGATATATACGTTACAAATCTGTCAGTAGTAAAATTCATGTAATAAAATAGACTGAAAGTTCTTTTCATAGATGCTTAGTATATCAACATCTATCTGTTATTAAATAAAAAACATCTTGATTTCCAAATTATAAATTACGTGACACAGAAATGTCGTTTGATATGCCTTAATCGTTAGGTTAGTACGTAATAATACTGGATCGCCATTACGAACAGGGAAAATGCAGCAACATCAAGATGGTAAAAATAAAATGACACATAAAATAAGAAGCCTACGCACACTTGGAGTTAACCATGGAACACGAACGGAGAGGTGGAGTGGTGGAGAAGATAATATGCAATTAAAATGAATAACACAAAATCATAACTATACGTCACATCAGGAGTGTACGTTACTATATTATACACCCCTGATCACATAAATATGCTGTAAAATCTACTATATAATTTAAGAAAAAATAGTATTGAAATACAACGTACTGATATTTGAAAGGACTCACCTACTAGGAGCTACAGATATATATATACATTGTTCGAAAAGGTAAAATCCAGTAATTCATAACCAAATGAAATCATTTCTGGTTTACAAGCAAATCGCGCAAGGAATTCGCTCATTAGATAGTTAGGCCAAACATATAATAATATCATCACTATCTTCAAAAAGCGTTTCAAATTCACAATAATACATTTTTGCGAATGTAAACGTTTGTGAAGAAAACATGGGAAAATATTCTCAGTGCGTGGTTACAATTAACGGGTTACCGCGTATATTTTGCTTGAACGAGTTATTTTCGTCGGGATGGCCATTGACAGTAGGTAATATATGACAGCTGATGTCTGTCACTTTAACATTAGTGGATTGTTTGGCCATTGACACATTTGTGTCAGTGGATGAGCAACAATTTATCATGAGACCACTTCTTGCTTTCAGGTAAGAAATTGGCAAACATCACACTTGGCATGTTGTTGTCTGGTAGGCCTAACATTCACAAGCTATACAGAGAATTCGCCTACAGTAATCTCACCCGAACCGAATCTAATTATTAGTGGAATTCCGCTGTTTTGGCGATTTTAACAGGAACGTTTTTTTCACACAACCCGAAATCACATTACGTCACCCATGTCATTATAATTATCGAAGTGCTTTATCATAAGGAACATGTCGCAAGACACCAGTTATTTGTGCAAGTTAAATTATATTCCATAATCACATAACAAATTAAAAATTTTGGTCTAAATCATCCAGTGTTAGCCATGGCATATGTTAAATACACTTTCGTCCTGAAAAAGATTGAACTACCGTTATTACGGCCGGTATCATCGTTATCACTAGGCGTACGCGTTATGCCCTCCCTATGCGTTAATAACCAAAGTATTACAGGGAATTCCCTATTATCTTCTTATGATATATATATATATATATATATATATATGCACATTCTACCAAAAGCTAATAAACACCGGTATAACTTATAACAGGTTATAACAGGTATTTATTAGCTCTTGATTCTACTCTGTAGCGTTCCAGTGCAAATGGCAAGTTCTGTAGTTTTTGCATCCTCCTAAACTTGCGCTGCTCCAGAAACACATGAGCTATGCTCCTGATCGTTATACGCGGCGGCATCATTCCATCTATGACCTGACAGCAGGAGGGCCGGTGTGAATAAGCCGTGCAACTAAATACGCCAAGGGCTGGAATTATAGAATAGATGCTGGTGGCTTCATTATAGATGTTTGAACGGGTTGCTAAAGACTGTGATGGATGCGCTGGTCATTGCTCTCCTAGCATTACTCGTTAAACAGGGTGAGTTTTACTACATCACAATCGTATTTGTGACAGTATCAGCAGATATAATAATTAATAAAAGCAGAAATAACTAATTAGAGTCATATAAACATTAGATTTACAGCCACTTGTTAGTATCCACCCATAGAAGAAGACGTTCGTGGCTGTCTTTCTGTCTTGTCGCAGTCGCTAGCTATATTATTATAAGCATTACGTGGATCAATGTTTTCCTAATCTCATGCGTGATTTCAATTGTTTACTAGCTGCGTATTATCATAATTATTTGGATAATTATTGCGAACACAGCGAGGATAGCTCTGGGAATATAATAGTTTAAACGGCAGAGAAACAACGCACAATCCTATACTGAAGCGTGATTGTCTGTAACATTGTCATATAAAAAGAATTCCGATTTCGGTTTGATCAAGTGATGATAATATGATACGTAGTCTGATAATGAATAAACATTTTACACATCACATCAGTCTTTTTTGTTGGAGAGATAAAAAAATGGTGTTTGTAAACGCCCGCCAAAGATATAGTTATTTGACCGCACCCAGCGCCGATTGACTGAATTGGGTGTGTAATAGCTATAACCTTCTTATGGGTTGCATTACATATTCAATCGTTCTAGAGGTGAAGCCTTTCTGAGACGATTTGTCAGAATACAGAATTCAGTATCTCATTCAGTGCCTATCTTTGAATCTGCAGGCAGAGACGTCGGCTTCAGCATATAGTTTGAAACAAATTTCAATGAAAAGCGTGCAGTGACGATTATATGATGACGAGTTCAGATGCGAGATTACATCCCCAACCACAAATCTCGCGAACGTACAACAATAAACATTATATAAAACAATGAACGGTAGCCGGTAATATTTATTCCTGATTCGTTGACAGAATAAATGTAACTAGAATAACTGTAGCCAATATCACTTCGTCTCTACCCTGTGAAGCAGAACCCGATGTACACACTTCACCACGCACATAAAACTAAAGGATAACTCTGCGTAACTGCACTTTTTGCGACTGTAAACAGATGAAGTAGCTACTGATACATGCCAGGGACGTTGCTGTTAGTATTTAATTCATCACTGAGAGCAAATATTTGAAGTATCAGATCGTTATGATTGTTGTTGCTGCTATTTGCAGCGACAGCGGCAACGCCGGAGGAGAGATTGTATGATGCGTTATTTGCTAACCCGCAAGGCTATAACAGATTGATCAGGCCTGTACGCAACACCACGGAATGCCTAGACGTTCAGTTCGGCATGGCACTGATTCAGATCGTGAATGTGGTCAGTAAGATTTGTAAAATTATAATATACATATAATTTAGTTGCTCATATATCTTGTTTATTACGCTAGGTTTTCATTTTTACAAAACGTATGTATTACGGAAACTATTTAATTTTATGAATGTCTCACATGATACGTTCGATGAAATGGCTTTCATACATTATTTATTTGTTTATACGTTGTTTTTTATTGCTTTTTGCAAACAAGTGCATTAGATACATAGCGAAAAAGAAATTCGATGATTGCTGCCTTACTTGTAGCAATAATTTTAGCATAACATTGGGAAAGGCATATTAATACATTTATATTATAACAAAAAATTCTATATTTTCTTTCATTTTTAGGACGAGAAAAACCAAATATTAAAAACTAACATCTGGGAAAGATACGTGAGTAGGCCGTCGTCGTCATATCATATTCACATATAGTCTCAATATGTTTCACAGTGTTTAACTATAATTTTAGACAGCGTGCTAGATCAAACATTGCTTTTTATCGAAATGACATAAAAATACTTATTTTCCGCTGGTAGCAAGTGGTACTCACTATTCTACATAATGAACATAGTAAACTACATTCGCCTCCACAGCTATGGCACGACTACCAGCTGACATGGGATCCAGCCGACTATGAGGGCGTTAACTCACTTCGAGTCTCTCCTGACAATGTCTGGCTTCCAGACATCGTGCTTTTTAACAAGTGAGTAGATCAAAGGATTTCACGATCTTAGCCTATAGACTATTATGGTGTTTGTATTTGCGATAGGATTTAAGTTTATAATATTTTGCTATTTTGGTGAAAAAATATAGACATCTTTTTTTTAATTGGCTCGGAATTAGAACAGTTGTTTTTGTTTCAATTATTACTTACTAAGTTAATTTCTCCTTTGTTTCAGCGCTGATGGTAACTATGAAGTTAGTTATAAATGTAACGTAGTACTCTTTCCCGACGGATCCGTACTGTGGGTACCACCGGCCATATTCCAGGTACTTATAAATAATGATATTTAATAGCGGTTTACTATGTAAATGCTATGCCGAATGCATCATTTCTTGACATATTAAAAGATTGAATTGTTTGAGATTTCAATATCATTTTGAAAATTTACATCCAAGGAATCCTCGTTTATTGAGCGGTAATATACATTATATGAGCTTATTCTTCATAGCGGAATCTACATGTCGAGTATGGCCACGTGTATAAATGTCTCTATTTCGCACAAGATTCGCCATACACGTTAGACATTTTGTCTACATAACAAAATATGCTTTTTAAGGGACGATTCTGTTTAATATATGAATGTCACATATGCGATGAACAGGTATAATGACTTTCCTTTGTCACATTAACATTGTGTTCCAGAGTTCGTGCACCATGAACGTCGAATATTTCCCGTTCGATATGCAAAAATGTGAGATGAAATTCGGATCCTGGACATTCAATAAGGATCAGGTGAATGAATTTGACGTAAAAGTATTAGTTTTAGTAAAGTAGTCATGCATATTTATACACATACTCTCTATTAAGTTATGGAGATGCGTCTATAATCGATAAGCTTATAATGCTCTAGGCCTATATTATATAAACGGCTATGCGCTACGACCATATGCGCGCATGTGCCATGTTAAAGCGCACAGACTCGGTGGATTTAGGTTCACGCGTACGTGATGTACGGTAAAATAACTGCGTGCTTATACTTTTATACTATTATACACAGGTGAAACTTTCGTTTTTCGAAGGCAAGGACCATGTTGATTTAAATGACTACCAGGAGAGCGGCACGTGGGATATTATAGAGTTACCTGGTTGTATTGACAATCTGCACTCGAAATCAGCGACGATGACATTCCATATCAGCATCAGACGACGAACTCTGTTCTACACAATCAACTTAGTGGTGCCATGCCTTCTTTTGTCCTTAATGAGCGTGCTTGTGTTTTACCTGCCAGTGGACTGCGGTGAAAAGATGACGCTTGCCATCTCACTGTTGCTAGCGCTTGTGGTGTTTCTACTTCTCGTGCAAAAGATATTGCCAGCAACGTCACTAATCATCCCTCTCGTCGCCAAGTACTTGCTGTTTACAATGATTATGAATATCATCACCATTTTAGTAACAGTGATCATCATCAATTGGAATTTTAGAGCACCTACCACACACAGCATGCCGAATTGGGCGAAGAAAGTATTCGTAGATACACTACCGGTGTTTCTATGCATTCGACGCCCCCTCCGAGAAGCTGCAGTTAGTGAACCGGCGTTTGCTATCAGCTGTTTTACGCTGCCTAACAATGGCAGTTTATTAGATTTCACCTATCTGCACCATCCGAAGTGTAAACACGTCCGCGAGGAAAGAGACGATGTGTTGCCGACGGGGAGAAAAGGAATTAGAGTGACAGAGGAAGGTCGCAAGACCATGTCGGCAATTGACTACATCGCTGAACGCCTGCGAGCAGAGGACATCGTACAGGAGGTGAGAAACTCTATTTTAAACAAAATCGGTTTTTTTTTACGTTTGATTATATTTACGATAATATCACTTTTAAAATTTGTCGCAAGCAATCTCTAGACAGAATTTCTTGCGCTTTCTTGCGATGGTTAACTATTTTAAACGGTTGCTTTGATTAGACCTACCTATACTATAGTATAATAGGCATTATTACTAATAATAATTGTAATGCGCATAATAATAATTGTAATAATTGTAATTGTATTGTATTGTTGTGGTGGTATTATTGTAATGCGCATACTTTCCTAAGTGGTACTAGATCAGCATAAAGGTGTAAGAACATATGCAAACTTATTCACAATGCTCATTAAGACGCGTTATCCCATAGTTATTATCCCAATTTGTAACCCTTTTTCAGTTCAAGGACGACTGGCAATACATAGCCATGGTCATTGACAGGCTTCTACTCTATGTTTTCTTCGCTGTCACAGCTTCAGGAACGGCATCCATCATTCTGAAAGCTCCTGATATATTTGCTAACACGATTAAACCCACAGACTACTGCTAGACCACGTCATAAAATGCTACCTAAACCCATTTTAACTACTATGTCTGTACAAGAAAATGAGCATACTTGTTTTTTTTTCCCAATTGAAATAATATTTTTATTATTAATAATATTGATCATAATATTTATTCGTTCATTATTCTTTTCTTTTATATAAACGCATTAGTTTATATAGCGTAAATAGTGACAACGTCAGTCATTCGCTTGTATTTAAAAGTTTTTGTCTGCTTCCGTATTCAACTTGTTGCATAAATTAGTAACGCGCGAGAAACAGCTAATACGGCATTGAATTTATGTTACTCCTGCCGTCAATGTGCACGTAGGTGCGGGTAATAATGGGTCAGACCTATTTCATATCAAAAGCCCACGCGATTTATTCTATCCAAATTTATTTATACGTGAGCTGTCATTTCCTGAATCTTCTGTGAACTGATACGGATATTACTCCGGTTCATGAAATCTCTCGCCTCTGACAGAATCTGTCTAGAATTGTCATCATATTATTTATGAACCATAAATTCTGCATTGCCCACTCATTTAGATCTATTGAACAAACGTTTGTTTTTTGTATTTAATACATTGTTTTAGTTATTCATTTTCTTGGTTCTTTATGCATTCAATTATTCTTTATCTTCATAATCATGTATTAATATCACATTTTGGGAATAAAAGTGGAACGATATCAGAAAGTCATCTACGCGATCAATGGCCTTCTCGCCGTCTGTGTCATCATATTTGTCATCGTCTCCACCCGGCTTCCCAATATCACATAACCATGGTTCCTGTAAAGATTTTCTAATCGAGTTTCATCTATGCGTAATGCGCTTTGATTGTAGAAGATGAGATTATCAAATTGTACACTCAAGAAGAAGCTGCCATACGTAGTATAAGTCTAGTTAATAGTGATATGCTTACTGGCGAGTTTGTTGTCTGATTCATCAGAGGTGCTAAAATCTAACATGTCGACTGCTGCAAGCCAAACGTTGTTCTTTGCTGGAGAGTTTGCAATCACCATATGGCCAAGTGCGCCATTCAACTAGTGCTTAGGGGGTAGCTGCCGTAGTATGAACAGATAAATGGATTATGAAAACTCGGGGTTTCTCTGACCGGCGGCCTTACGTTAGGCAGCAGAAGTCAGTATGCACGTGCTGCTATCTAGTTTTAGCAAAATTATCTCTAACTCAAAGGTTGTGTCGAATACCGAGTGCATTGTAGAGCTTACGACGTCTTTACCTACAATAGACGATGGAAGACATGTGCGTCATCTTTTAGGCGCAAAGTACGCTCAATTGGATGTTTCTAGTCTTATTGCCTGATAGCCTTCCTCGGGGCCATGCTTATTGTACTACCTTGACAATCTATCAGAAAATCTAGACGAATCTGCATAGAATGTGCCAATGTGGTAATATTCGCTTTTCTGATATGGTTAACGTGGACAAAGAGAGCGAGAGGGATGCACGGACGCGATAGAGAGCGAGGGAGAGCGAGAGTGATAGAGAGAGAGGACGAGGGAGAGGAAGAAGAGCGAGGGGGAGTAGGGATAGACAGAATAAGAAAGAAAGAGAGAGATACAGCTCGATAACGAGGACGAGTTACACCAACGTGCCGAGATTGCCATAAAAAGAGAAAGTTAGAGAAAGTCATCGAATGCAACCAAATTGTTATATGATAGATAGATAGATAGATAGATAGATAGATAGATAGATAGATAGATAGATAGATGGATGGATGGATGGATGGATGGATAGATAGATAGAATAGTCTTGCACATTGGGCATCAACGTGAATCAGGAGTACTCCTGACGTGAATGTTACACATGCACAAAATGTGCAGGAAGTGAAGGAAGATACCAGAAAGGAAGAGAAAGGAATGAACAAAAATTAAGGGACTTTCTCGCCACTTTTTTTTAGTGCGTTAGCGATCAAGAAGATCGCTGAAATTTTATAGCATTAGCAAAACCCGTTCTACCTCTTAATTTCCACAGAGTATGCATAGCCATACATCGCAGTGATTCTGATGAGTAGAAATTTACATTGAAACCATTTACCGCTTCCCCATTAATTGTCACACAGTACAAATAGGGTAAATGTGGTAATAAAACGTAGATTTAATTGGTAGATTTTAGCAAATTAAAGATTTATAAATCAGCCAATTTTTATTATTTTTGAGTTGTATAATCGTTGGAAGTGACATACTTCACATGAGTATGTACACTATGTACACACGAGACACAATTAAGAGCCCGTGCTAATAAGAGCTCATTTTTAAGCTGTGATATGATTTGCTCATTATTGTGATATTTTGTAAACTTTCGATTCTTTCTTTGCTAAACTTTAAAGGTTTATTTATGCCAAATGGCACCGGTTAACATTTAGTTGCATGAGCAAATATTACGAATATTGTAAATAAACTACTGCACTATCTAAAAGCGTGAAGCTTGTAAACGTGTATAATTAGAATCAGCTCTGACACGCAGGGATTGGTTCAGTGAGCTTGGCAGTGTGTTGACTTCACTCGTTCTGACTGGAGACTTGTACACGTTTGCACAGTCTCCCATGTGAGTGGCCACGTACAACAACATACAGCACATAATTATAAACAAACATGTCAAGTGATTTGACGCGATAGTGTAGAGTTTTAGTTACTCGTTTGTTGTTGAAAGATAGCGATCTAAAATCACATCTTCTACAGACTATTCAAAATTAGAACAACCTATCCAAATAACTATTAATGCAATAATAAATTAAGAGCGTCTGAGTAGGTTCTTGCGACTGAATAACACATGGTTTGTGCAATAGCATTTAATATATTAGCACGTGAGCAGAAAATTCGACTGGGCGTGATTTCACACAACGTGTGTTGAATTTAGTTGGTTCGATAATATCGCACATAATTATGTTCACGCAACGTGTTTTACCAGCATTTCAAACCGCGCTGCGTAAAAACTGTAACTATTACAAATATTAAAGAGCTATGTCGTGGGAAAACTGAATGATGTCGTGGGAATTCTGATTTAAATCGAATTTTAATCCTGGTAAGCCTTTGCTACACTTACCAACATGAGCATAATATTGAAATATAGTTAATACGAGCGTGCTAGAAGTGTGACAACGAGGAAAAATTTGCAGTAGGCCAACAATAGCAGCAATTGTGACAATATTTGTGTCCGGACAACTTCTTTGATCTCCGGCCTCCACGAAGACGGTTCGATGCGAAAATGCGAAAAGTGATCCACGCTGTCTGAGAGAGATACGCGATTCGCCACTAGACAACACACGTGCATGCGGTTATACAATGTTTCTTTAGGGCATACTGTTGTTTCTTAGCCTAATATATTAAGTAGACGGCAATAGAAAATCGATAGCACAAAATCGCCATCGTTCTGATAATCTTGGAACGAATTAAACCTTTAACATGTAATTCTTATAGGTGTTTTCGAATGATTCCGTGTACAGATATTTATGTAGTAACCAATTTAACTCGACCCGTTACACGAGCTGTGACTGTATGCAGATTCCACTCAGTACCCCTGCGATGTGTATTGCAGGGGTACTCAACCCCCAAACCCCATGCTAGACTAGAAACATATGAGCTGTTCTGCTGATCTTCAAGGACCGGCACCATTCCATCTGTGACGGGTCAGCTAGATAGATGGTGTAAATTTTCCGCGGAACTAAATACGCCGAGGGTCGGGAGTATAGCTGGTGGTGGCTTCAGTAAGGATGTACGCACGTCTAGCTAAGACTGTGAGGGATGCGTTGCTCATTGCATTTCTAGGTTTACTTGTTGAACAGGGTAAGTGATGTAGATATGTCGCAATCGTAGTAGTAGTAGTAGTAGTAGTAGTAGTAGTAGTAGTCGAGATGCTGCTAAGTAACCAATTAATGTAGAAACATGGACGGCATTCACGTTAAAAATGTAAAACTCAACGTCGGTTTCCGAATCCAGAAAAACAAAGCGACATTGAAACACGTCGCATCCAACTGTTTTGCCAACCATGCGAGTGAGATCTGTTCAAATTTTCTCCAGATATCATGAACGGCATGTTTAGTTTTTACTTGTTGCGTAGGAAGAATGCCAACGCAGACACTACTTTTCTATACTTACCCTCGAGAACGCAAGGTGGAAACCTAGGAATTTGTGATTTAAAACGGCGGAGAATCACCACTTGATCGCCGGCTCACTTTGATGATTTGATAAACAATGCGTGGTTTAATAATGAGATATATTGTATGCTATGTATATCTCATTTCGTACATAAACTAATCAAATATCGTTAATCTACGGTCACTTATTTATTATAAAGTTATATTATAAACGTTACTGTGGAGTGTACTGCGTGTTTCATCGGTTTCCACCGATTTCTTACAATTTACTAATGAAGGAAAGTGTATTGACTACAAAATATGTGTTTTGAAAGTCAGTTAAAATGTATTCGTGATCGAGCTATGGAAGATAAAATATAAATGCCCCACAGCGTATAGATATTGAGATTACTCGTTTCAAGTATCACTTCGCTGCTACTCTGGCAAGTCAGAGCCTGATAATGTACAAACTTCCTAACCACGCGCCCTGTAGCTAAAAATGCCGCACATGCGTTACGGCAGTTTTTGTGAGTGTAAACAGATGCCGCAGCTACTGTTACATGGAAGGGACCCTTCCGGCAGCTGCTGCTGGTGCTTATCCAAACCGTGCCTATCCAATGGGAACCCCCACCCCTACCCACTCACCACCACCGCCAACAGTAGCTGCTTTGCTTCTCTATCTCTGGATTCACTCACGGCATGACTGTATAGGTCTAGGTTCAACATCAACTTCGAAAGGCACGCGCGTCAGGCATCCCCCTCTGGGGTGATGGATTATTAAATACCGCCCGATAGAGCATTGGACCTACATATAACCAGGAGTAAGTAATCACATTCACTTGTGACTATTTACTCCTGATATAACGAATGGTCCACATATATTTTCACATGAAGTGGCATTCTTTAAACGCAACGCAGCGAATATGACATCCATTATAAGTTTATTATTAGAAGGCAGATTAGCGTGCCAAACACTGAGTGCGTAAGCGCGGGCGCGCGCGTGTATATATATGTGCGTGTGTATAGTGTGTGTGTGTGTGTGTGTGTGTGTGTGTTGTGTGTGTGTGTGTGTGTGTGTCTGTGCGTGCGTGCGTGCGTGCGTGCGTGCGTGCGTTGCGTGTATGTGTGTTTGTGTGTGTCGTGTTGTTTGTGTGTGTGTGTGTGTGTGTGTGTGTCTGTCTCTGTGTGTTGTGTCTGTCTGTCCTTACCGTCCGTCCGTCCGTTCTGTTTGTCTGCTGTCTGTCTGTCTGTATGTCTGTCTGTCTGTTTGTCTGTCTGTCTGTCTGTTCTGTCTGTCTGTCTGTCTGTCTGTCTGTCTTTCTGTCTGTCTGTCTGTCTGTCTGTCTGTCTGTCTGTCTGTCTGTCTGTCTGTCTGTCTCTCCGTCCGTCCGTCCGTCTGTGTGTGTGTGTGTCTGTCTGTCTGTCTGTTTGAGAGCAACATTTTCTGTATCAGATTTTTATGTTAGTAGGCCCGTAGCCAGATTTATATTGGGGGGGTTCGTTTTTCAATGTTGGCAATTTGCTCGGCAGGGGCGTGTATAGAATTTGTACAAGGGAGGGGGGTCTAACCGTAACCCAAAGTTGCGAGCACGCGAAGGTGGGGTCTGGGGGAAGAAAACATTTTAAAATTAAGACCCCTCAGATGCGTTTCTGCGCGAGCAGGGGGGGGGGGTCCGGACGTCCGTGGACCCCCCCTGTACACCGCCCCTGCTCGGGCGCCAAGCGACCAGGCGAGGGAGCTAAGGACGCGAGGGCGGGGGAGGGTGTGGGAGGGGGTGTTCACTGTTCACCCTCCGCGCACGATGGAGATTTTGCAATTATTACACTAAAATGGAGCGACCTGATGTGAAATTCTTGCAAATTTAAAAAAAAAAAAATTTTGTTTGGGGGGGGGCTCGGGAAACCCCCCGAACCCCCCTGGCTACTGGCCTGATGTTAACAAATTAGTTGTTGTGTAACAAATTGTTGCCACTATTTGCAGCGACAGCGGCGACGCCGGAGGAGAGATTGTTGATGCGTTATTTGCTAACCCCAAGGCTATAACAGATTGATCAGGCCTTACGCACACCACGGAAATGCCTAGACGTTCAGTTCGGAATGGCACTGATTCAGATCGTGAATGTGGTCAGTAAGAATTATAAAATTGTTTTGATATGCGCATCATAGGATTTGTCGTACATATAGCTTATATTATATACCCCCTCCCACATACACACAAGGACACGCACACACACACACACACACCACACACACACACAACCACACACACCACCACACACCACACACACACACACATCATACACACACATACATACACTCCACTGCACACAACTCACACAAACACACACACACCGACCACACACACACACACACACACACACACACACACCGCACGCCACAGCACGCACACACACACACACACACACACACACACACACACGTTCTTCGTTTCACTAAGGTTCCGCATGATGCTTCACACAATCGAGCTTATTAGATACTTATTTACTACAGGTACTTGTAATACTTATATACAGATACTTAAACACTTAGATAATGTGCACGACAAAGTATTTCATACTTACCATACTTATAGCAATAATTCGAGCATAACAAACGCATAGGCATATGTAATAACGAATTCCGAGTATAACTCTTAAACTTAGGGACGACTAAATTGTTAATGTGTAGCATAATATATAGGTCTATAGGTATAATTACAAGTTTCTTCTTTGCATATTTAGGATGAGAAAAATCAAATATTGAAGACGAATATTTGGGAAAGATACGTAAGTAGGTTTTAGTAATCGTATCATATACACAGCTATGTTTTATATTATAATGATTCGGCGAGTGTTACTTGCTGTTCCAATATGGTTGTCACGGGTTGTTAAATAATGACGATATTTTTACAGCATGCGAAATTTTAAATGGCAGATTAATACTCATATATTGAAATGGCAGAATCCAACGTGTTTGTTGTCAAGCATTATTTAACGGATAATTTAATATTATGATGTATAGTATAGTACATTTACCTTCCTAGATATGGCACGATTACCAACTCACATGGGATCCAGCCGACTATGAGGGCGTTAACTCACTTCGAGTCTCCCCTGACAAAGTTTGGCTTCCAGATATCGTGCTTTTCAATAAGTAGGTAGCTCGAAATATCTTCACAACCTGTAAAGTATACAATAACTATTGTAAATGTAAGTATTCTTATTATGAAAATATGGAAGTCGTGCAATAATAGTTTAGCTATTTTTTTAGTCAAATATTTACACGTAAAAGGTGAAAATTGTACTCGGAATTAAAGCCGTTATTGTTTCAATCAAAATTTTATTTTCTTATTATTCAGCGCTGATGGAAACTACGAGGTCAGTTATAAATGCAATGTAGTACTTTATCCTGACGGAACCGTGCTATGGGTGCCACCGGCCATATTTCAGGTATGCCGTGGGTTATTTAAGAGTGGCGAGGGAATATGGGCATTTGGCAAGAATGAATAACCACTTCTATAGAATAGCCATTTAGAATAAGAAATACCACTTTTGCTATTGTGTAGAGACATGCGAGGGTTCCGAATCGAAATGTATCGATGATATACTCGATATGAGCTTTTTATGCGTCAATATGATATGCATGTGTTATGTCGAATACGGATACGTGCATCAACGTCACTACTTCGCATAACATCCAAATACTTCTCAATAATCAATTGGACGAAAGATGAGTCGGTAGCTGAATGGAACAACATATGACATTTTTTTCACATTTTGATACGATTTCCTCGACTTTATGTATCGAAGTATAGACGTTAAATAGTTCAACCATGGTCTAGAAACATGCTAGTCACCATCGATACAATGCAGACAGATAATTCCCTGCTTATTTCTAAACGACGCTCTAACGCATACAATATATCTTGCGCATTTTGCACTAGAGATGTTGATGAGACACATGTGTATATGGTTATGGCTGCTTTATAAAATGGCCATGCCTTTATTACATTAACATTGCGTTCCAGAGTTCCTGTACCATCAACGTCGAATATTTCCCATTTGATATGCAGAGATGTGAGATGAAATTTGGATCATGGACGTTCAACAAAGATCAGGTAAAATAGTTTTAAGTCATAGTAATGATTTTAGTCAACGCAACATGGCCATCCATATATCTCTCCACAGAGAAACACAGATTCTCAATGATGCTCGTCGAACAATGTGTTCAACGTGCGAAGAACATGCGAACATGTTCGTGCGATTGTTCCATAGGGAATACATCCGGAGCGTTTAGTTTTATGCGTACCCAATGTAAAAGTGCATACCAATATATCCGCATGCTTTTATACACAGGTGAAACTGTCGTTTTACGAAGGCAAGGACACCGTTGATTTAAATGACTACCAGGAGAGCGGCACGTGGGATATTATAGAGTTGCCGGGTTGTATTGACAATCTGCACTCGAAATCAGCGACGATGACATTCCATATCAGCATCAGACGACGAACTCTGTTCTACACAATCAACTTGGTGGTGCCATGCCTTCTTCTGTCCTTCCTGAGCGTGCTTGTGTTCTACCTGCCAGTGGACTGCGGCGAAAAAATGACGCTTGCCATCTCGCTGTTGCTAGCGCTTGTGGTGTTTCTACTTCTCGTGTCAAAGATATTGCCATCCACGTCGCTTACGATTCCTCTCGTCGCCAAGTACTTGCTATTTACGTTTCTCATGAACATCATCACCATTTTAGTAACAGTGATCATCATCAATTGGAATTTTAGAGCACCTACCACACACAGCATGCCGAAATGGGCGAAGACAGTATTCGTAAAAACACTACCGGTATTTCTGTGCATCCGACGCCCAAACCGAGAACCGGCAGTTAGTGAACCGGCGTTCACTATCACGTACTTTACCCAGCCTAACACTGGTAATCTACTAGATTTTCACTATCTGCATCATCCGAAGTGTAAACACGTCCGCGAAGAAGAAGATAAAATAATGACGTCTGGTAAGAAAGGAATCATGGTGACAAAGGAAGGTCGCAAGACCATGTCGGCAATTGACTACATCGCTGAACGCTTACGAGCAGAGGACATCGTACAGGAGGTGAGAAACTCTGTTCTATATGAAATTACTTACGGGATTATTACGGTTGAAAATGTTGCCAGAAATCTGTTTAATAAGTATTTCTTTTACTTGTCTGCGAAATTGTACGTTTAAATATTTCCCATTACACACAGAACTACACTGCAATGAGCATATATTTTATATATTATATAAGCATGAATATAACAATGCTCATTTTGTTTCTGAGGCTCGCCACCTCTCTGAATGGCTAATATCTATGTGTGCCCTTTCAGATAAAGGACGACTGGCAATACATAGCCATGGTCATTGACAGACTTCTACTCTATGTTTTCTTCGCTGTCACAGCTTCAGGAACGACATCCATCATTTTGAAAGCTCCTGACATATTTGCTGAGACGATTGGACATACCGATTACTGCTAAACTATATATCACTGCTAATGTGTGTGTGTGTGTGTGTGTGTGTGGGAGGTGGGGTGGGGGGGGGCAAGGTCCGTTTGTATATATGCTGTGGTCGGAAGAGAAAAATTACAAACTACAACTTGCGTATTAATTATTTTCTTAGTCAGATGACGATTCTGTTATTTATAATACTGACCTTGAATTATTTATTAGGCTGTTCTACTGTTCGTCTCGTTTCCATAAACGTAATAGTAGCTGTAATGTAATAATTTCAGTAAATGACAGTAATAATGGTATCGCGTATTCGTATGTAATGTTATTAGATAGCGTTTTATTTTACTCATACTATGGTTGTCGTGTAAAACTATATATATATATATATATATAAGTCCGTGGCCAGCTCCAACTCCGTGCCAGGACTGATAACGAGCAACGGACCCGTCACCGACTTTCTGCGGCCTCTCCTGCGCGCACCAGTAGGGGGCGCTGCAGCGCCGTCAAAGCCGGGAAAAGGCGGCGGGTTTTCGTTGGCGGGCGTGCTGTATTCGATAGAGAGAGAGAGAGAGAGAGAGAGAGAGAGAGAGAGAGAGAGAGAGAGAGAGAGAGAGAATTTGGGTTTCTTCAGAGGTTAATAAGTACTGTGCTGCGTAAATAAATTGGTTTAGACTTAATTCATATCACATACCATGCGCTATTTGTCTAAAATTATTCGCTTTACATTTTTATATCCTAATGTGAACCTATTCAAATATTCTATAGCATTGCATTTACATTATGTGCATATACAAGAGGCAAATTCAATTTTGTATTGTCGTGTTCCTAAATAGCACGCGACATCAATCGCGTAGAATTCCGTTGTTTAAACATTCCATATAGCGCTCAGCTGGCCCATGTACGAAAGTATGAAGTTATATCTCAAAACCAAATATCACTGCTTAAAATCTCTTCACTTAAATATTAATTTACTCAATGAACTTAATTAGATACCTATTCTGTATTATGCATTATTTGGCACTTCTCAAAAGTACGAAGCTCACGGTTGTGCAAGTTGTTAAATTCTTTTTTGACAGGCGACTTATTTGCACCACACAACACAGGATAAGTGGTTTACCGCGTTTGCTAGTGTGTGAACTTCTTTTACGAGTGGGCATGTATGAACTATGTACGTTTACTCTGTTCCCTATGTGTGTGGCTGGTCAACAGACAATACATAATCATAAACAAACATTTAAAACGAATTGAAGCAAACGGATAGAATTTAGTTATCAGTCTGTCGTGTAAAGACACTGGTCTAAGAATATATCTCCGACAGACTATACAAAATTACAACGGCTTACAGGGGCGGATCCAGGGCTGAAGCTAGACAGTATATTTCCAGATTTTAAGGGCACATCCCCCAAAAAGGGCTCACCACCCCACAGTGGGTGCCGTCAGGCGCGGAAGCACATGGCGGGGAGTGTGGGGGGCCTCCCCCCGAAAATTTCAATATTTCAAGGGTCCCTGGGGACAAAAATGAGCACCATTTGAGCACATATTTAGTCAAGCAGCAATAGCTAAAAACCATATGGAATTTTATTTCTGCTTCATTTTGCCTGCGCTTTGCATACCAGCCATTAATGCAGAATGATCGATTCAAGCACTTCCCTTCTTTTTCAGATATCAAAGCTAGTTTTGTTACCATGTAAAATTTTTATTTCCTTCAAGTCCTGTCAATGAATCAGAAGAAAAAGACAACAAATAAAGAATATAGCCAAATTCCATCAAATTGTTTTCTGTATTTTTTTAGCGCAAAATTTCGAAGGGCACTTTAAAATCTAGACCGTATTTCCCAATATGGTAAATACGGTCTGAATCCGCTCCTGGCTTATCTAAAGTACTAATACAATAATAAATAAAGACCGCTGAGACAGACTGGTGCGTGGTTTGTCTATGCGAGCATGGAATTCGACCAGAGCGGTTTCACACAGCCCCTGTTTATTTAACGTGATGATTAAATTCACTTGTTCGGGTAACTGTCGCATATGACAAGAATGTGTTTGTTCAGCATTCCAGACAACACAGCATCCTCCATATAACTGCTCAATATTGATGTAATGTGCTGTAAGGAACAGATATCACGTCGACTATCGTGATAGGAAGTATATAGTTTCTTCTAATTCCATTCCAAAAAATTAGATATTAAAATTTATCGTCAGAACTAAAGCAAATATTAACCGTGCTATATCGTCGGCCCACGCACACGCATGAGATAAATATTGAAACTGGGTTATTACCACCGTCCCACTATACCAGGTGTACTCTCAATGAGTCACAGTCTTATCCATGAACATATTCTAATGAGCACCGCTCTGGTGAGTATTTTTCGAACTTTTCTAGTTCGTACTTTTACTTCCCTATACCGAACCTGAAACTGTTCTGCCAATCTTCAAGGGCCGATACCATTCTAACTGTAAGGGAGCAGGAGGATATAGACGGTGTGAATTCTCCGTGGAAGTATATACGCCGAGGGTCGGGTTTATAGCGCTGCTAGCGTGGCTTCAGTAAAGATGCACCAATGTCTGCCTAAGACTGCGAGGGATGCGCTGTTCGTTGCATTTATATGTTTATTCGCTGAACAGGGTAAGTTTCACGACATCGCAATTGCATCAGTGACAGTATGTGAGCAGCTAAGTAATTAATTTTCGTAATCAAGTCAACTTTCTTTGCGTTTGAAATAATAATGTTCAGCAGCTGCATATCGATTGTCAGAAAAAGCTGCTCGGTATCGCATCTGTCGTATTGCTTTCATCACTATTATAAGTAGCGTCCTGTTGAAATATTTGCCAAATAACACGAGCTTGAGCTATTTTATTTATACTTGCTGCGTGTGATTGCCGAGGAAGGTTAATTAACGTTAATACAGCTTTTTGCTATCTAGAACGCAGGAGACACGAGTAACACAATTTTACATGGTAGAAGCATAACACACAGCATTAGTCAGTCAGTCAGTCTTGTCCATGTAACTGTGATCGCCTCTAATTCTGCCATAATCAGTTCGGCTTGATGAAATAGCATATGGTGAAAAGATATTAACATGCGTTTTATTGCCATTTTATGTTAAATTATAGCGCGCTGTGAATCTTTAGTTCCTCCCCGATACAGGATATGAAGTAAATACGGAAAATGTAAAGCCTACAAAAAACAGGTTTGAAAACATGGTGTCTGTGGGTGGGTCTGTGTGTATGCGTGCGTGAGTGAGCGTGTACGTGTGCCTGGGCACATGCGTTTGTCGTTCGTGCGCGCGCGCGCGTGTGTCCAACAGCTTACAGATAGTGGGCTTACTCAAATTAAGTATCGCCAGATCGCAAAAGTGAAGCAAAGGCCTATTGCGGCTCAATATAAGGTACAAACTTCAATACGCGCCCTGTAGCTATAAAAGTGCCGCATATGCATTACAAGTTTTTATGTGTGCAGTAGCTACTATTACACGGAGGGAACGTTGCTTCCGGCAGCTGCTGCTTGTGCTTATTCAAACCGTGCCTATCCAATGGGAACCCCTACCCCCCACACACACGCGCGCGTGCCATCACCACAGCTAATAGTGGATGTTCTGCTTCTGTATCTGTGGATTCACTCGTGGCACAACTGTAGGCTTAGGTTTAGTGTTAACTTAGAAAGGGACCCGCGCCAGTTATCTCCCTCCGGGGGGTTGTTATTGCGAGAGAGAAGGGTATTATCCTACATATCTACAAGCATATCCTTTCACATGAAGCGGAATACGTTTAACGTGAAGCGACGAACATGACATCCTCGATGTGTTTATTATTTGAAGGCGAGACAGAGTGTAGTCATGTTGTGAAGCACTTGAATCATTTCACAATTCTGAACTTTTGCTAACCCATAAGCCACAACAGCATCCGTATGTCAAAGTAGGAAACACGATACATTCTGCGCTCGTTATCTGCGCACAGATTATGTAAACCTTATTTATATATATATATATATATATATATATATATATATATATATATATATATAATATATTATATCTGGGGATAATAAGTGTCAAAGTATTTATCCATAACGACATGAACCCCATAAATACGCGACAGTGAATTCGTTAGATTCAATATTGAGTTAGTTAAAAAAGAAATTATTTTTAATTTATAAAACTGGTACTTGCGATTTTAAAATACAACCTAACACAATATTTACTGTAATCTATGATTGTTGTTGCTGCTATTTGCAGCGACAGCGGCGACGCCGGAGGAGAGATTGTATGATGCGTTATTTGCTAACCCGCAAGGCTATAACAGATTGATCAGGCCTGTACGCAACACCACGGAATGCCTAGACGTTCAGTTCGGAATGGCACTGATTCAGATAGTAAATGTGGTCAGTAAGAATAGTAAAATTTTAATACACGTGTTTACTGTCCTAAATTTTACAATCGTAAAATTTGCTTCGAATTGGCTTTTCCTTTCATTAACATATCGTCTGATACATTCCGTCGAAGAGCTTCAGATTTTCCAGTTTCGTGCAGTCATCGGTATAACATTCAGAGTGAGGCAAGTAATGTATCTATAATTCCAGCATAACATTCGGAAATAAAACAAAATGAATAACCTTATGCACATCAACATACCTTATGTATCTGAGTGGTTGTGTGCACGCATGCGTGTGTGTGTGTGTGCGTGCGTGTCTGCGTGCGTACGTGTGTGTGCGCGTGTATCGTATCTATATACGCATCGTAACGGGTTGAATTTTTTATATAGGATCTTTTTTGGATTTTAGGATGAGAGAAACCAAATTTTGAAGACAAATATCTGGGAAAGATATGTGAGTAGGGCCTACCCATTAGTGGTTATATCGTATTAATGATGGTGTTTTTTTAAATGTTTTAAACACTTTGTTTAATGTTATTTATATCTTTGACAGCTTGCTAGATGAAACTGGCAGCATAATGCATTATGTTGACGTTAGTCTTTATTATGTCATAAACATAGTATACTACATTCGCCTCCACAGCTATGGCACGACTACCAACTCACATGGGATCCAGCCGACTATGAGGGCGTTAACTCACTTCGAGTCTCCCCTGCTAAAGTTTGGCTTCCAGACATCGTGCTGTTCAATAAGTGAGTAGATCAGACGATTTTCACGATCTTAGCCTATAGAATAAGTATGGTCGTTGTATTTGCGTTAGTATTTGAATTTACATTAAATTGAATATTTTGGTGAAAAATATTTAGATGGAGCTCGGAATTGAGATGAGCAGTTATTCTTGTTTCAATAATTATTTACTGAATTTATTTCGCTTGTGTTTCAGTGCTGACGGTAACTATGAAGTCAGTTATAAATGTAATGTAGTACTGTTCCCAGACGGATCCGTGCTGTGGGTACCGCCAGCCATATTTCAGGTACTTAATATGTTATTTAATAGCAGTTTGCAATGTAAGCAGCTGATCAGTACGTCAATTTTTGACATATTGAAAGATTAAAACGTTTGAGAGTTTGACATACAAGGAACCCTCGTTTATCGAGCGGTAATATATCTGATATGCGCTTATTCTTCATAGCGGAATCTACATGTCGAGTATGGTCACGTGTATAAATGTCTCTATTTCGCAAAAGAATCGCCACGTAAGGCATTTTTTCCACATAATAAAACATTTTTAAGGATAATTCTGTTTAATATATGAAGGCGTTTATGCGCAAACCAGGTATAATGGCTTTCCTTTGTCACGTTAACATTGGGTTCCAGAGTTCGTGCACGATCAACGTCGAATATTTCCCGTTCGATATGCAAACATGTGAGATGAATTTCGGATCGTGGACATTCAATAAAGATCAGGTAAATAAGTTGATAGTAAATAATGTGATAGCAATTGATTTAGTAAACGCAGCGTTGTCATGCATATTCATACATATACTCTCTGTTAAGTTATGGAGATGCGTCTATATATATATATATATAAGCGGTTATACGCTCTATGCGATATGTGAGCGCATGTATCGTGTTATAGGGCACAGACTCGGTGGGTTTAGGTTCACGCGTACGTAATGCAATGTACAATAACCGCGTGCTTATACTTTTATACTATTACACACAGGTGAAACTTTCGTTTTACGAAGGCAAGGACCATGTTGATTTAAATGACTACCAGGAGAGCGTCACGTGGGATATTATAGAGTTACCTGGTTGTATTGACAATGAGCACTCGAAATCTGCAACGATGACATTTCATATCAGCATCAGACGGCGAGCTCTGTTCTACACAATCAACTTAATGGTGCCATGCATTCTTCTGTCCTTCCTGAGCGTGCTTGTGTTCAACCTGCCAGTGGACTGTGGCGAAAAGATGACGCTTGCCATCTCGCTGTTGCTAGCGCTCGTTGTGTTTCTACTTCTCGTGTTTAAAATATTGCCATCCACGTCGCTTAACATTCCTCTAGTCGCCAAGTACTTACTGTTTACGTTTATCATGAACATCATCACCATTTTAGTAACAGTGATCATCATCAATTGGAACTTTAGAGCGCCTACCACACACAGCATGCCGAAATGGGCGAAGAAAGTGTTTATTGACACACTACCGGTGTTTTTATGCATTCGACGACCACTGAGAGAACCGGCCGTTAGTGAACCGACGGTTTCTCTCTCGTACTTTTCACAGCATAACAATGGTAATATATTAGATTTCACCTATCTGCATCATCCAAAGTGTAAACACATTCGCCAGGAAGGAGATGATGTGTTGCTGACGGGTAAGAAAGAAATCATAGTGACAAAGGAAGGTCGCAAGACCATGTCGGCAATTGACTACATCGCTGAACGCCTGCGAGCAGAAGACACCGTTCAGGAGGTGAGCAACTCCTAGCCGTTCCTACTAGCAGTTCCTACTGTGTTTGATAAAAGTAAGCACACTTATCGCCGCTTTATGAGCGGATGTTAGAGTAAAAAACGTAACTCTGACAAACCGATATCCCGCAATTTAGGCATATTTACTACATATTACATGTGATCATGCAGATAGACATGATCAGCACACAAACGACGAAGAATATATATATATATATATATATATAATTATTTATTTATAACCTTATATCCTATACTGACATTTACCTCTCTCAATGGCTAATATCTATGTGTGCTCTTTCAGATAAAGGACGACTGGCAATACATAGCCATGGTCATTGACAGACTTCTCCTCTATGTTTTCTTCGCTGTCACAGCTTCAGGAGCAATATCCATCATTCTTAAAGCTCCTGACATATTTGATGACACGATTGAGTCGGTCGATTACTGCTAGAGTATAAGACTCAATACAAGGTATAACACACGCACGCACGCACGCACGCACGCACATATATGTGTGTGTGTGTGCGTGCGTGCATATATATATATATATATATATATACAGTATATCAGTGAAATCCGTATCTATATATACTGTGATTAGATGAGTAAATACACTCGATTATATTCATGATTTTCCCAGCGAAACAATGATATTTATAACAGCGAGCGTGGCACGCTTACATTTATGATACCCTGCTTTTACATAACCACCTCGCGCTTCTCTATTTTATAAGAGACCTCAGTAAATGATCGTAAATGTATTCTCATTGACAAGTGTTTGTTCGATCGTATTCTAATGTATGTCCGTGGTTTAGGAGTTTTTCTCCCTTTTATTCTATTGAAAAAGCAGTTAGTTCGTTTTGCATTTAAATGTCTCTAATCGCCTCTTGCTTTCGATGGATTGCGTCAGGAAATGATAGAAAATATATCCCTGATGACATTATGAAAGCGTGCAGTAAAGACTCAGCATAGGCAAGTATATATATATTTATATATATATACGCACACACACATATATATCATACATGATAGAGATATATACATAACGATATATTACAATGGACATGATTGTTGTAGTTCTCATTGACCATTTTCTTCATTCTGATTGGTAGTTTAATCCATGGGATTTTTATGTCAAGAAAACAAGGTTTTATATAAGTCCAAAAGAAAATGTGCAACTATAGTTTGAACCCAACCGTATGATGCAGAGCTGCAGTTCTATCAGCGAAAAAAAGGACAGTGATAGCCAGATTTGTCACACGCTCCAAAAATAAATTTACGGTTTAACAACGACTTCTTTTATTAACTTTCAACGCGTGTTTAACCATACAACAACACCAAATGCAATATTTATGTTACACATATGAAAAACACGTCATATTCTAACAGTAACAACATTATCCACTAAGCCTACTGACTGTAGGGAATAGCATGTATCGTTGTCATTTTTTAAACTTATATATTTTAAGCAATTTGTTTCATATTCCTATTCAATGATTCTTAAGATATAGTCTATAGAGGATTGTTTAGTTACACTATGCAAAAAATTTAACAATGACAACACTCTTTAATGCGATATGTTCATATAAATTGCAGAGTAAAAATCTTTTGACATCCCAAATGCAAAATTAAAACGCTTCATTCAAGTACAAGTATATATGCATATACATGTTCCACAATTGTTTACCGGCATGTAAAATATTTGCAAATTAGGTTCAAATGTATCATCAAGAGTAGTTCCTCGAAAACTATACAACAGGATTTTACAATAACTAATATGATAAAATACAATTGTAAAAATTAAAATATATATAATTGAAATCAGCAGTGAATAAAAATAAATTTGTTTTGATTCACTCCAGATAAAATTAATAGATACACTGTAAAAGAGAAGAAACAAACTTTCAATTAATAAAAATTCGTTGACTGCTTTTATCTGGTGGGCATAGCTATGAACCTAAGCATATTGAAATTCAATAATATAGCCTACATAGATTCTTGGTATAACATGGTCCGTACCTACAATCACACATATGTGGTCCATTACCAACCATAAGGCACCACAAAGCAGCATAATTAACAAGCTATTCCCTTGCCATTTTCCTGCTCATACGTGTGATATGAAATGCATTGTACTTTTCAGTAAACACAATCTATGAGCTTCTCACAGCATGTCGTAATATATATGTTAATATATACGTTACATATAATAATATCTGTAAGATTTATGAACTTGTCAGTTTAGACTTTAAAACTTGCTGGCAAAAACAGTTAACGTCCAGTATGGAAGTTTGAGCCAACGTGGGCACCAATCTGCAGTTGCACGCCATCCAGTAAACCGCAGCAAAGTGCGCAGTGACCTCATTGAATCTGGTAACGTTCCTACAAATTAATAATTGCAATTTATTAAAGCTACCTGAACAACAAAACAGTTGTCATCTACAATGTAAAAAATGTTAGGTTGGTAGATTGACATTTTGATTTATATTACATAATTTATGGTACGGATAAATAAATATTTTACAAAAATTCAGTAAAATGTTATAATTTGTCCCCCTTGCTTTAAAAGAGAAATGATGCTCTTGTCAATCTGTTAATGCTCCATAGATGAGACCAATTATCACTTGCTTAAAAATTAACTTAATGTGTATGAGGTTTGGATAAGTAGATTTCATTTAATAAGTGGAAGAATCAATATGAATTGATTTAAAAAACTTCCCCATTTGATAATGCAACAAAAACCTTAACTGCCATACAGACTGGGTGCCTCTGCATTAATAGAAGAAACACCTACCATCGAGATCTACTATGTTGTACTCCTCTGCAAGTTCACTTGTAAGCAGAATTCTTCCACTCTTTTTCATGATGTTTGGATCTACAGGAAATAAAGTAATTTATAAGTGATAAATTCATTTAAAATAAGTTATGCAATAGAATTTCATATTTGAATATGACAGACTCTAATAACAATTAATCGTAAGTCTGAACAAAATCAAATTTAGATTGTTTGAAGCAATTTAGGGATGATGTGGTTAAAGGCTCATATCAGATTCAGACACACATGCACACACACACACCCACACGCACAGACGCACATACGCACACACGCACGCACGCACGCTCGCACGCACGCACGCACGCACGCACGCACGCACGCACATACGAGTAAACATCAGAAATTAAAGAATTCTTGTGTTCTTTCACATGCTCTGTGCATTTTATGTGCATAGACTCAAGCACTTACCAAGTGCAAGTGCTGTGATACACTTTCCAGAAAATTCCACAGTCTCTGCAGTTTCCAGCATTCCCTTAATCTAAAAGCAAAATGACATTAAGCCAACGACTTAATTTATCAATGATGTAATTAAATTAGACAAATAGTAGAATGATTATAATTTTCCATAAAATCTCTTTCACCCAGCAACTTTAGACTTACGTATTCCCGATCTTCGGAGAAGCCAACCATAAGTTCAGTTTTCACAGCACCTGGCCATAGACTAACATAGGCAACATTTGATTTTTTCAACTCTATGGCACAGTCAGCTGCCATGCGATCTACCTACAAATACAAATAAAACTGTTGCATGGTTCTGCTCATCTTAAAGGGACAGTACTAGTAGCCTCTAGGATTTTACTGCATACAACTGTACTTACTGTATAACAAATCGTCTATACCCACACGTATTTGTTACCAGATACCTAATTTAATTGTTATAATTAATTACACATCAATGCTACGAAATTTGAACGGCGCCATGACACCCTTGACCGTGCTGCCACCTCGAAAAGTTGCGTATTTGACAATTTATTTTGCACGTTACAGACCGAGGGCTAATCACAAAAGTGCAATTATATTTATACCTAAATGCTATTTAACCGAACGATATTCATTTTAGGGCAAATTTATCCATAATATAACTGAAACTATATGTCGTTTATAAGATATTACAATCCTTTTGCTTTTAAATGAATAAATAAGAAAGCAGGCCCTCGGTCTGTAGGCCTTGGCTGGAAAGTGAATTTGCGCAAATTATCAGATCGTGCGCTTTGAGTGGCGCCACCGTCGTTGTAATCAAACTGTAGTCGTTAGTTTTAAAACATTAAAAAAAAATATTTCTAATGGTGATTGAACCATGAAACTTTTTATGTAGCGTAATTATAACCTAAATTAGCTGAAAATAACACTAGAACCTAGAGTAAACTCTTCCTTTAACTTCATGGCTTTTCAGCAAGGATTTGCGAAGCAGTAGGCAAAAATTTTCTGTGATGTAGATATACCTGGATCATATAGCCGCTGACTATAAAATTTTTGAAAGTCATCTTGTGCTCTCTAAGTAATAGTATCTGTCCCGTACGTCACCGTACGTATACGTAGCTGCACACGCCACACCAGCCCTGGCGTCCAGCGGAACAGGCACTAGTTGGAGAATGAATCTGTACCCGTGTATCCCGGGGGTTTCTTCATAATATAGAACTAGTGTAACTAAAAGTCATAACCTCGTAAATAATAGCCTTCAAAGTCCAAGGGACTATACCGATATAATATATATAGAGAGTAAACTCTCCCTTTAATGTATAGTTTTTACCAGAACTACAAACAAGAAATAGTGAAGGCTTCGTGGACATGGTGCCATTGCTAGCTATTTAATGGCAACTCTAGATATAACTATATAGCTAGTACTAGATACTGTTTCACAACTATATTATATGCCTGTGGCAGCTTAATCAAATTGGTTCACTACTCAAGTTCATTTCTACAAATAAATGCTCCAACCTGGGTAATAAATCTACTTTTAGTATAGTCTGGTGGAACCATATTAGGTAGTAGTGTCAATTTTTAATGGCAATTACTACAGTGCTTAGGGGATTTTCAAAAATAATAGGAGGCAGGGTTTTCCCCAGGCCTTTAACACGTCTGGTCTGACATGCCTTTAAGGCTGAAGTCAATTTGTGACATCCCATGAATCCTCCCACCTGCTTTAATTCCCTAATCAATATGCCATAATTTCTAGCCGTGTTTACTTTTGACAACCTGCCCTTTCAGCATTTCGCATATTGATGTATGCAACCATGAACTGATCGAGTTTACCCATGTATTGGGGCCAGTTATGACATGTGTAATTGTTTCCAATCGTCGTAAGGCCCTACCAGTCATTTCCCCACCGTCCATGAAAGACATGCCTTCTGAAATGCCTGAGGAGAACCCTGTGAGGCATTATGTTAGAGACTATTTAACTAAAAATGCATCAGTATAATGCTTTGGTTGGATTATATAGTGACAACACAGATGTAACCTGGGCTATAAGCATGATACATGATACTCACTGCTGCTTTACCAATGCCGTATGCAACATTGAACAAATACTTTAAGCCTCCAACAGAGGAAATGTTGACGATTAACCCTTGCTTTGCGGGCACCATCATCCTGGCTGCATACACAGAACACAAATAATGGTTCCTAAAAGGCATGAAATAATATTATATTATTATGAATTACATCAATTTACATCTTTATACCAAGGTCTCGTACAGTACCAAAGTTATTTCTACTAAGTATAAAATCTCAATATTTATCATATTTATTTTATTAAATTTTATAAGGAGTGTACCTGAGTCCAACATGATTGACTGTATCCCAAATCTTTGGATCTTGCTCCCAAAAACTAGCTTTATCAGAAATAGAGTCAAATATTGCCTACAAACAAATGAAACTCTTAATACCATAATGCATAAAATTAAGGTTACTCTCCAGGTTTTAGGCAAAATTTTACCGATTTTTCATTTTCAAGCTTATTCGATGGCTAACACTAGGTGCCACCTCTGTACATGCTTATTTCTCCATATAACGATGCATGTGAACTTTCAGAGCGTTTTGATTGCCTGCGTACACGTGTAGTGAGCCGCAGCTGACGTCACTGATGACATCAGAGACATGATACAACCAGCATTTTCGCGATATTCACTAAGCCAGTATCCATCAACATCAACCCTTCTACAGCTGTCGACATGTCATCTGCCAGTGAAAGGTGAACTATCCTGCGCGCTTAAAAATAGCGCTTTCACCTCACTACATACTTTACATTTAGGCACACGTTTGTTGACATATAGCTCAGTGACGTCAGGCAGTGGGCGGTGTTCGCACGTTTTGCATGAAATTGCGATTGTAACCTCGTAATTTCTCACATTTTCTCAAGGTGCATAGAACATTTTACCAATTTAGTGGTTTCAGTTAGTCATGGATGTTACAGTAAGTACAAACAGTAGATGTTTCACATACGTTCACCTATTTTGCACACAGGCGGTCGATCATTGTGAAAAATAGAAAAACGTGATTTCTCGGTTTCGATTTCTGTCACAGTAGCCGATGTATAAATGGATATTTCTCTGTTATTACAACTTAGAATAATTTTATTTTACACTCGTTTTAATGGCAACATATTGCTGTAAAAAAGCGTGTCGGGGATAATTGTTATTAAGTGCAGTATTTTAAACAGTTTTTTTTTTACATTTTTCTCAGTAAATATGAAACTTAATGAAAAATCCTGATGCACTATTTTGGTACATATTGTGTTTAACTTGTGGCGAAAGTTTTGCTTCCTCACTCTCTGTGGTAACTGAGAAATATTCAAAATGCCATTTTCACATAAAAATTCAAAATTTGTGTTGTAACATAATTAGGTGCTGGAAATTTAATAAATTTTAATTTTTTGTCATGCGCACAGACATAAATCTCATCTATAAATAAAACATGTGATTGATTCGATTAATCTGTCAATAAACGTTTACTCTTCATTAGAGCAACACCCATGCAAAGAGTGGAGAGTATCCTTAACTGCATTTTATTCACTGCCTTCAATTCATCAGTATAGACTTGATAATAATTCAGTTATAACAAACAGGTAAAATAAAGTTGCTATGTGCTTGACATAGTATGTCACAATTTTCAAAAATACTTACAGTCACAGCTGTGTATGCATTGTTTACAAGAACGTCCAACCTAGAATTCTGTTCTCGACCAATGCGCTCAAACAGCTGCACCACCTGGTGGTCATCAGAATGGTCACACTGAACAGGTATGCATTTACCGCCACGATCCTCAATCTACAATAAAGACAGGATACAACTCACTCAAGTTGACTCAACTTATTCAGAGCATAATAATTGCCAATATCAAAAATGGCTTAATCAGCTCTAGACTCTAGAAACATAGTGACAGTAGTTTCATGTTAGGCCAAATATGAAAGCGAACAAGGGTTGAACTGCTAAAATGTTACCAGTGGTTGAGAGAATATTACTAAATAATACTAATAGCAAATTACTGGATGCACACGTTTAGACCATGCAAATACATTCATGCTTTTCTATTATGCCTGCTAGTACAACAAGTTACTCACTTGCATGACTCTTTCTAATTCTACAAACCTCTTTAGCTGTATCCTCTAAAGAACCTTTGGATCCTTCAGATGCCTTCAAAGTCCTTCCTAGAACACAATATGTATAGTAATCATGCATGTCTATACTGGCTAAATAACCATCTAATTTTACAGGTAAAGATACAATTTTAGAAACAATTACTCATAATATTAGAATGAGGAATTCAACCATAATGAAAGTGGCAATGACACTATAGTTCACCACAAACAAGAGCCGCAGAGCGTCTGGGCTCATCTGAGGTTTGTTGCTACAGTTATAAACGTAACATTTAAGTCGTGCATAGTGACACCTTTGTTAGGCGCAGATATGCAGATACGCAGTTGCGTACTGACTTCGTCAGATGAGCTAAAAAGAACACAAATGAGTGAGTGCCAACAAGGCAAACGCGCAGTTTAGTCATCGCAGTTTTAACAGTATTTAGTGGTACTATACTAAAGTTCTTAATTATACTTCTAATTCATTCCTTGATTGTTCTTAGCATAAAATAAGTACTTTCTAGTAACCTATGTACTACAAAATCGCAAACCCCCGCAAAAAAACACAGTTTAGAATGACTCAAAAGTAGGTCGACTGGCGTGCTCCAAAATAGGACGTTGTCATCTCTCCCATAGGAGTAACAACTGTTTTGGTGCTAGCCTTATACATTCACATACCAAAATTTACAAATTGAATGAATCTATGATTCTATGGCCATTTTCATTTTTGCCAAAAAATGGGCTCGGCTCGAATTAGGTCGACTGGCGTGCTCCAAAATAGGAAATTCTAATCTCTCACATAGGAGTGACAACTGTATGCAGTTTGAAACATGTGGGTCAAACGGTTCTCGAGTTATCGTTGACTGTAGGCAGACACTGAAATGCATAGTGATATTGCCAAAATCTACCTAATTTGCATAATTTAAAAAAAATATCAAAACCCTTGTGATATGTTTTGGGGGCCAGTCCTTATTCATTCACATACCAAAAATGAGCAAAATCCATTGAACCTGAACTGACTTATGGCCATTTCCATTTTAGACAAAAAGTGGGCGTGGCTCAAAAGTAGGTCAACTTGCGTGCTCCAAAATAGGACGTTCACATCTCTCCCATAGGAGTAACAACTGTATGCAATTTGAAACATGTGGGTCAAACGGTTCTCAAGTTATCGTTGACCATAGCCAAACGTTGACGAACGGACGGACGGACGTACGACGGACGACGCCCCATGGCAATAGCTCATCTTGACTATGTCACGGTGAGCTAAAAATGAGGGATCAACTTAATTACCTGTGATATAAACAGTAGCTCCAGACTCCCCCAGCTGAAGGGCAATTCCTCTGCCTATTCCTCGAGTAGCCCCTGTCACCAGACACACCTTTCCATGTAGTGCCATAATTAGCACAGAGTAACCAAATCTTTATAGCTGCTACACAACTAGGTAATCTGAAATGTAAATAAAAAAACACATACACACACTCATACATATATATAAATTAGATATACACACATCGTGATTCTATTTCTGATGGTAAAAAATGTTATGAATATAAAATGTTTATGAACTGCTATTAGAAATAGTTTTCCACAGTCATACATTATGGCAGATATCGACTGAAAGTTACAAACATACTATGAGATATCACGAAAGTATGCAACCATTTATGCGTGCAAGTTGGCTTACTCACGATGACAGACCAATTTAAGGCCTGCTATTCAAGATTAGGAGGTACAGGTCCAGGGTAAAGTCACGTAGCCCGAGAACTTTGTACTCATGCATTCACCAATATTGGCTGTATGCTGATTAGTGGCTAGAACTGTTACAAGGCTATCAATCAGATACACAGCAAGGCCACCCTTAAAAAATTGTTTGTTTCAAGCGTGCAACCCAGGGTACACTGGAAGGTCACCTCTGGCTAGACTGGTTCACGACCGAACTGTTTGTCGCAGAGCGTGAGGCCGGATACCAGTCTACCCTTTGGCAAAAACAATAAAGGTGGCTTGCTGCTAGATTGGTACCCGTTCGCCACCTTCACTCCGGCATATATCCTTCACTACACTGACGTTAGTGTAGCGTGTGGAACTGTCGACCGGGTACCAGTCTAGCTTGCTGCCAGCCGCAGTAGACGCTCGATAAACCGTGCGCCTGCATGTACATATATGCCGTGGTAGATTACGAATGCTGCACGTGAACTCGAAAAAAAACGGAAAACGCGAAAACAATTCTGGGATCGGGAAAAAAGCGGAAATCCGCGGAAATGCGGAAAATTTTCATGCCTGATATTGTATATTCTGTTTTGTGTATATGTTTTTGCGGAACGAATTTGAATTTTTTTTTTGGCGAAACGAAATAATTTTTGTTTTGTTTTAATCGGCCAATAAAATGTGTCGAGTAGCGGCGTTTTGGCGAGTCGGTCGGTAAAGGGGAAACAAGCAATATTTTATCTTAGTCCCAATTAATACCAATGGTACTTGGGCCATCCCAATAACAGACAGGGGTGACAATTGGGCACAATTTTACTATTGCGATAGTATAGCGATGGCTGAAATATCATTGCTGATACTATTGCAGTAATTAAAACAAGTGCCGCAGAGCGACAGCGCTCATCTAACGTCTACTGCGGTGACTCTGTGGTGGAGTGGTGGGATTCTAGTAAACCCT